CTGCACTCCAGTCTGGGCGACCGGGTGAGACTCCGACTCAAAAAAAAAAAAGAGCGAGAGAAGGGGACAGGACTCCCGGGGCCTGAGGGGAAAGGCCTTCAGAGGGGAATCCCAGCGTCCGCGGACCAGAGGCGGCCGGGCGGGGCTCACCCGCGCGGGAGGCCGAGCTAGACTTACCCGCATAGTAGGCCAGGCGGCGGGCCTGGCGGTCAAAGCAGAACCACCGCTTCCGCCAGGTCTTGATGCGCCCGCCCATCTTCACCAGGGCTCCGCGGCAGCAGCCCCCGGACACGCGCACGTGCGGGCAGTTTTCCGGGTTGTGGCCCCATCGCTCCAGGTGCTGCCGCAGATCCAAGACGCGGGGTCCTGGAGGGCGGGGTGGGGGTGGGGGTGTGGGCGGGGCCTGGGGAGTCAAAATAAAGAGCCGCTGACTTGCGGGGAGGGGTGGGGACTCGGCTCCGGCCCCTCCTGGAGAGGCAGTCAAGCTGCTCACGTGGAAGGCCTGCTACAGCCCTTTGACAGTCATATTAACAGTGACCACAGGCGGGGTGCAGTGGCTTATGCCTGTGATCCAGCTTTTTGGGAGGCCCAGGAGGGAAGATTTCTTGAGGCCAGGATTTCAAGACCAGCCTGGCAACAAGGCAAGACCCCCATCTCTACAACAAAAATAAAAATTAGCCGGATGTGGGGGCATGTGCCTGTAGTCCCAGGTATTCAGGAGGCTGAGGCAGGAGGATCACCTGAGCCCAGGAGCTGGAGGCTGCAGTGAGCAGTGATCATGCCACTCCATCCCAGCCTGGACAACAAAGCAAAACCCTGTCTCAAAAAAAGCCAAAACCAAACAAACAAAAACACCATGATGAAAAACCCAACAGCTACATGTGTGGACTATGATACTCCGCCCAGGACATTTGTACACCACCTCCTTCATGTCTCAGGCCACCCTTTGGAAGGGGCTACTTTGAGCACCATTTTTCAAAGGAGCACAATGAGGTCCCCCAAGAGGTGAAGTGATACACTAGAGATCACACAGAGCTTCCAGGCGCAGAGCTGGGACATGCACCCAGGTATTCCTGATCTGAGAGCTCAAACTGGAAGGACCAGAGGCAGGTTAGAGAAATGAGGGCCTCTGGGTCGGGGTCGCCAAAGTGGGGTCCTCAATGTTACCGAATAGTAAGTGATCAAAAAAGGGGAGCTTGTAAGCCGGGCTCGGTGGCTCAGCCTGTAATCCCAGCACTTTGGGAGGCTGAGGTGAGTGG